TCAAGAAGGCCCTCGCGAGACTCGGCTCGGAAAGCTGGTGCTTGATGTTGCCAACTCGCTGCGCCTGGTTTGGCCAGGTCTCCTGTCTGTCGCACAGGGGGAGGAGGGAGGAGGGGGAACCCAGGGAAGAGTGGGGGGGAGGAGGAGGGCGGAGGAGGGAGGAGTGGGGAGGAGTGGGGAGGAGGAGGAGGAGGAGGAGGAGGAGGAGGAAGAAGAAGAAGAAGAAGAAGAAGAGGAGGAGTGGGGAGGAGTGGGGAGTGGGGAGGAGAAGGGAGGAGGGAGGGGTGTGGAGGAGGGAGGAGGGAGGAGTGGGCCACTCTCGCTTCATGGGGGGGCCTCTGAGCTGCTGCCCAGGGGGGCCTGGGCCGAGAAGGCCAGCAGCCGACCCCCCCGCGGGAGGCAGGGATCCATGAGAGCATGTGAGCGCTGCAGATTGAGGCAAAATGATGTGCCTATATCTCTCTGTGTATGTACAATTTTCACCATACATATATATCTATATACATATACATATACATACATATATACACATATACATATACATATACATATATACACACACACACGTACATATGGCGGATGGGGGATGAGAGGATCTTCAGGGCCAGCATCTTGACATGCACGCTGCTATCAGGTCGCCCGGGCCACGCGGGGCCCGCTGCAGCTCGGAGCCCCTCGGGGCTGGCGGCGGCCTCCCGGCGCGACGAGCCCACTGTGGCTTCGAGCCCCGTGGCCCGGCCACGAGCTCCCAGCGAGCAGCCGTCTCCAGCCGTCCCCAGCTTGCCGACTGAGAGCCAGCGCCGCGATGAGCATGCTCAGCCTCAATGCGCAACAACGTGCAGGGGCAAGGGCACGAAGCAGCACTGCTGGCCCGCGTCGGTTGGCCCACACTCGCAATGCTGGAGACCGACGTGATGGCAGTGTTCGGCAGACGGCAGACGGCATGGGCAGTGTTCAACACCGATTTTCTGTGTGGCAAACTGGTACTCAAGTGCGTCGTAGTGGAGACGTGGTAGCACTCGACTGAGTAGTGCTGGACACCTACGTGGTGCTCGACATCGCCCTTGTGAACAGTATGAAATTGCTCTGTCCCATTGTGCTGGATACCGACGTGGTGCTCGACTCCGATATGACGTGTCAGCGTACGAGGTCGATCAGCGGAAGCGGGAGCACCTGCCTGGGTAAAGCTTTCGCGCTGGTGTCGGTGGAACGCCCTCTTACGCAGCGCACGACTGCCCTTTGTGTATGCCATCCACCCAAGAAGGTACTGACCAGCACAGCCCCAGCCGCAAGCCTCGGCGGCGCCGTAGCTCCTGGGCGGGACTACATGAACATGGTCGCACTCAGGTGCAACTGCGAGTAGGTCACGACCGCGATTAGCCTGGGAAGACACTCGTCATCGCAGCTGCGGCCGCATGCCATAGCGGTGCCGTCGCTCATTGGCGGGGCCACGTGGACGCACCCAACTGCAAATGCGCGCAGGTCACGACCTTGATCAGCCTGGGGGGGCGGTGGCTGTCGCAGCTGCGGCCGCAGGGCATGGCGTCGCCGTCGCTCCTGAGCGGGACCGCATGGCAACACCCATCGGCAACTGCGCCCACGATCAGCCCGGGGAAGCATGTACATCTCAACTACCGTATGGCCGCTTCGGGAAATGACACCCGTCGAGCTGCCTTCGTGCTGTCTAACGACGCGGTGCGCATCTGGGTCGTGGAAGCCAGGGTTGTAGAGCTGCCCAGCTGTGCTGCTCGCTGCCATGCTGCTCAACGACGTGGAGCTGACGCGTGGAAGTCGGAGTCGAAGTGATGCGGGACGTCGTGCTACTCACCGATTCGGACCTGACCTCCTCACCCGTGGATCTGCGGATGTCAATGACGCTGTTCTGCCACAGGGCCATGCGGGTCGACGTCGGAATCGAGGTAACGTCACCCGTCGGGGGGCTCGACGTCGCGCTGACGGCCCACGTGGTGCTCGCCTCACTGGCGGTGTGGTAGCCAAAGTCGCAGTGCCGCTGGCGTGTATCATGGTCGGAGTCGCGCTGTGTTGATGACGTGCTGCTCGTCTCCTCGAGGCTGTCGGGGTCGAGGCACCGCCACCCGTGGTGCTGAACGACGCCGCGCTGCTCCCCGAAATGATCGTTTCACTCGCGGAAGTGGGAGTCGAGGCAGTGCCAACAGTCGTCCTGCTCAACGTCGTGCAGCTCAAACCCGTGTGCTCGCCTCACTAGTAGTAGACAAACTCGTCATAGTGCCATCCGGCGTGCTGCTCA